TTGTAGAAATTGTTTGAACCAAACCCTCGTATATTAAATGATCAACATATGCAAGATATGGTTTCCATTTGATGAAACGCTGAGCTTCAAGTTCTGCTTGTAATGCAGCTTCTTCTTCCGTTAATTCAATATCTAATTCAACTTCAGATTGTTCGGCTTCCATACCATCGATGAGTTCTTCTTCTGTTAAATCTATAGTTTCATCTGCATTTATTCTCCTATAAAAAGGCATAAAACTAACATACTTTACTATAAGAATTTTTATATTTATTATTAAATAGATATATTAAATAAGTAAGAATTAGTTTTTTCTTATTAGGTATAAATGATTCACCTAGTTTCAGGAAGTTCTTCAATTGGTAAATCCTCTGCTCTATCTTCTTGTTCATCTACATAAAAAGTTTCAATTATATATATATATATATATAATAGAATTGATAAATCATAATGAAATAAAATATATTAGTAGTAACATTTATTTGGGTTTTTAGATTTACCTACCATTTAGGTCTGTTTCATTTTCTTCGTATATAGATTCGGGCATTAAATCGAATAAAAGATTATAATTTTCTTTCAAAACACGATTTAATTCTTTAACAACAAGTTCTATTTCTTGGTATCTTTTAGCAAATTTTTCTTCGCGTTCTCCGATCGCTAAAAGATTTTCTTCTTTTAAATCTTTCCTTTCAAGGATTGGTACCAATGCCCAGGAATAAATCATTTTTAAAAGACCATTTATATTTTCCTGGACTTTGAATATTCGAATATACAATTTCTGTATTAGATTTAATAATTGTTCTACGTATTCCGGTACTTCTACAATCATAAATTAAATTAATATTAAGTTATGAAGGATAATTTACGTTCACAATATTTGTTGATATTACCGATAGAATTCCAATTATAATTTAATTGACCAAATTCTATTAATTTTTCTATTTCTTCTACTTCATCCTTTAACAACTGATATTCAACGGGTGAAGTGTTTTTTTGTAACCAGTTATACCTTTAATAAAAAGACAGTATCATAAAATTAAATTATGTTAATAATTTAATGTCATATATATATTTTTTTATGAGTACATACATACCAATTGAGAATTAAATTCAAATTGCAAGTGGTTTCAAAAAAGAATGTACTTCTATTATGTAGCTCGATAGCTTCTTCAGGTATATCTGATTTCTTCATTATAACAATATCACGAATTTCTTGTAATACTGCCGTCAATTCAGGATCAAAATTTAATTCTAATAAATTTTTGTTACCAACTTTTAGTAAAGGTTTGAATAAATATTCTTCGTATCTTTCTGGAATTATGCTTGTCCATTTTAGAAAGATTTCACGTTCCAAATTATCTATGAGAGCCTTAAACAAAAACCATCGTTTTAATAATTAACAAGAACAAGAAGAAAGCCAAGTTGCTGGGACACCGCTTTTTTATAAAGTCTATACAGTTGTCATCGAGACCATACAATGTGCAAACAGTAAGAATACTCAACTGTTTCTAAGAAAACAAAGGAAAAAATTCACATGCATTCTTATATACCAATTCGTTTCAAATAGAAAAATAAAAATTTTCTACAGTTTAATTCAAGAAAAAGAAATTATAAAAAAATGTACATTGGTGAGATGAAAAGATTTGAGCCTATCATTCTGAGAGCTGAAAAGTTTTGAGCCTGTAACAAGGAGAGCTGAAAAGTTTTGAGCTTAACACGAAGAGAGTTGAAAAGTTTTGAGGCTAACACAGTGTGGATAACCATAAAATTATAAAAAATTAAATTTTTAACTAAAAAATGTATTTTTCTTTCTGAAATAAACTGTATATAAGAATGCATTTGAAACTTCTCCTTTCGTTTTCTTTGAAATGGTTAAGTATTGTGTCTTATTGCTTGCACAGTGTATGATGGATTCCTACAACTATGTAGAATTTTAAAAATTGATATCCTGTTAATTTTACTCTCCCCTTGTATATTTTAATATTATACCTTAAGTTCATTATATTTTTCCCTTATATCGAGGTTTATCTTGGACATTATTAATGGATGATCTACTAATGCTGCACATTCAATGGGATAATTTACTTGTTGTTTCAAATTATTTAAAAAAGACAAAGGCTCAGACACAGAATGTAAATTCTCATTTGCGAAATTATTTTCTGATTCTATATTTGTGTTAAAGTAATGATCTATTATGACCTAAATTGAAATATAATAGAGTATATATTCTTTATTTATAAAATCTTATAATAAATATTGTTTGAAATAATAATAATAATATAATACCTTAATATTGTCATATTCATTATTTATTATTTCAATCAATCTATTATAATTATGCCATAATTGTTCCATTAAAATTGGCCGATTAGCGATAGTTCCTATTATCCATATGAATCTGAACATAGATTCTATGTCATGACACTCCATAAATGCTTGATTGAATATGTTAACCAATTTTCTATCCATAATTTTTATCTAAAATGTATAAAAAATTGTAGAAGAATTTTATTACTTATAAAATGCTAATAATTGAAAAATAAAAAAGAAATTTACATTGACTTTAAATGTAGACCAATCATTACTAAAACCCATATCTTCCGGTATTAAAACATTATAGTGAGCGTCAGCAAATTGACGATACATTTTAACAAAATTTTCGTAAATTTCAAATATCATATTGTATAATATGCTTCCTTTTAATCCAGCTATTTCTATTCTTTCTAATTTAAGATATTCTTGTACTATCTCAAAGAAAGCCTAAAGTAAAAAGTATAATTAAACATAATATTATTTATCAATTTTTTTTTAAAGTAAATTAATCTTTATCGAACCTGTAATTCATTTAGACGTTGATCAAATTTACGCAATCTTGAAAATATTAATTTGTCATAAAAATTCCATAAGACTGGTTCATTTGGTGGTTTAAAATAATTTTCAATTTTATCCCGAAAAATTTGAAATAAATCTTGATGATAAATCATAATGATTTTCGTTTGCCCCAATCGTTTTAAATTATCTTCAACGTCACCCTCAAATAAAGAACTTTGATCCAAATATTTATCAGCCTAAAAAAGATAAATAAAACTTTGTTAACTAATTATTATACTGTTACAATTTTATTATAACTAAATTTAATTTATAAACTATGAATAAAAATAAAGTATACCTCAGCTATCAATAAATTAGAAATCATTGATAATAATCGAATAATACGTGTAGTAGTGCAGTAATATTTAGAATGTGACCATAATAAACAAACACAATGCATTAATGGCTTTAATAATGGTTGAATATCATTAAACTCTATACTCTGCATTTTATCAAAATAATATTGAAGTGGTTTTAAATGTACCCATATATCATGTGCTTCGACTATAGCTGAAATAAATAAAAAAGTATTACTGAATACAAAATCTTTAAAATTTAATTAATATTTTAACTATAATTGTTATGCATAATTTAATGGACTCACCAGCGATAACATTTTCACAAATATTATTAAAGTAATCGAAATATGGACTTTCTATAAATTCAAGTATAGAACCAATTCTTTTAACTCGAGGGTCATTTATCTGTTGATAGATGGATTCTAAATTTTTTATTCTTTTAGACCAAAATTCCAATTCTAAAAATCCATAAATATTAATATTGTTAAAAAGAAAGAGTATTTCAGTTTTAATCAAGATATAAAGCGTACCATTGTTAGGCAATAGATAATCTGAACTTAAAAGTATTCTTTCATCATTAAGAATTTCGTTTATTTGTGAAGTCCACTTATTAATGATACTTTCAATATTACTTCTTAACTTAACATTAAATTGTGCATCATCTCTTTCTTGTTGTTTCCATCCTTCTTCAAATATTTTTTCTATATCAATTGGCATTGCTAATATTGTTTCGTCAAACATTTTTCCTTTTATCTATAAGACATAACTATGGATAATAACAATATTACTACAGTAAAATTTTTTTGAAAATGTATATTTATACGAATACGATGTACTTGATGAAATAAACTGCGAAGATCATGAATATGTTTCTTCACATCTTCCTTAGCGACAAGAGGCCATCCTGTCTGATTAACTGGATTTGTTAAAATTGGTAAATAAACCTATAAACATAAGAAAATATATTAATATATGCATAATATGAGACAAAATTACTATTAACAAATCAATACTTCTTCTATCAAAGTCGCTGCTTCTTCTATAGGTTTTGGTGCCATGTCACCAAGAATAATCATCTTTCTATAATTATCTTTAGTAATTTTAACATGTTCACGTTTAATAAAATATGAAGATTTAACTCGACTGGTCAGTTGAATTCCAAGAGATGGTATAATAGCACCCGTTGGCAAAAGTTGTATCGTTAACATCATCTCAGATGGTATATTAAAGAATTTCAAAATTAAAGTCTAAATAAATGAAAAAAAAATTAAATAAATAAAAATATACATGGATAATTAATTACGAAATTATGTTTTTTATGTGCATATAATACATAGAGATTGTTAAAAATAATAATTCTTTTACATATTTTTAAATTAATTATGACTTAACTTTAAGATCTTCACTTCCTAATAACTTCATCCATGCTTCGGTTTTGATTTTTCTTGAAAGTACTAAATACTTATATAAAAAATCAAATAATTCTTCTTCCTCCTGCTTCCTCGAATCATTCTTTTTACCGCTCATATTTTTCAATATCACCAAAATATCGTTTAAATATGATTAACTTTAATTTTTTAACTTAAATAAGCGACAATGTTAAGTAATAATATAATGCTGTAAAAACGTTAAATGAAATTGACCAAAATAATCCTAATAAAGTCTACTCAATATAACTCGTAATAATAATTACAATATTTTAAAGGATTATTAATTTTCATTTTGAAAATTCCTTCTTAAATATTCGTTCATTTGTCATTGGTTAATTTCACGTAAAGTTCAAATAGGCAGGTGGCGCTGATGATCACAATTTTTTATTAACATGTTCTTGAACCGGAGGTTGATAAAGAAATAAGTGCAACTAAGGAAAATTTATTATTTATAACAAAAAGTGTATGTAAAAATATAAAATGACACGCATAATATTTTTACATCCAGATCTTGGAATCGGTGGAGCCGAAAGGTTAGTAGTTGATGCTGCTTTAGCTTTAAAGAAAAATGGTCATGACGTTTCTTTCGTGACAACTCATCACGATCCGGATCACTGTTTTCTTGAAACGAAAGATGGTACGATTCCCGTTACAGTTGTTGGTAACTGGTTACCGAGACATATTCTAGGTAAATTTTTTGCATTATGTGCTTACATTCGAATGGTAAGTTCAACTAAATATATTTGTTCTAATTCTAAATATACATTAGATTTTTTATAGTATAAAATTATATTATAATTGATATTATTGTTCCAGGTATATGCAGCAACCTATATAATATTTTTAAGAAACCGTCCAGATTTAGTATTTTGTGACTTAGTATCGGTATGTATACCCATTCTTCGACTATACATTCCCTATATTGTGTTTTATTGTCATCATCCGGATCAATTACTTTCTACGCCTGGCAGTTATTCCAAAGCATTGTATCGTGTACCTCTTAATTATTTAGAAGAGATTACAACTGGGATGGCTCATAAAATTTTTGTAAATAGCTTATACACATGTAACGTATTTAAATCAACGTTTAAGAAATTACATGTTCAACCAGAAGTCCTGTATCCTTCTATCAATACAGACTTCTTCGACAAAACAAGAATAGTGATATTAGAAAGAATATTGGATAGAAAATTGTCAGATGATAACATCATTCTCTTATCTATTAACAGATATGAGAGAAAGAAAAATTTATCTCTCGCAATAGAAACACTTGCCTATCTTAAAAACTCTTTAACTGAAGAAGAATACAAACGATTGTATTTAATTATGGCTGGKGGATATGATAAAAGAGTTGAGGAGAACGTCGAACATTATTTGGAATTAATAGAACTTTCAGACGAATTACATGTTACGGATAAAGTAATCTTCTTACGTTCTCCTTCTGACATTTATAAAGTTTCTCTTCTAAAACACTGTGATATTCTGATATACACTCCGCAAAATGAACATTTTGGTATTGTTCCATTAGAAGCTATGTATATTGGTAAACCTGTAATTGCTCATAATTCTGGTGGTCCTATGGAATCAGTTATCGACAAAGTTACTGGATATTTAGTTAATGGTTCTAGCAAAGAATTTGCTGAAAAAATTAAAATACTGATAAAAAATCCGTCTCTCATAGAAAAATATGGAAAAGCTGGTAGAGAACAGTTTCTTAAAACATTTAGTTTTACAGCATTTAGCAATCAGTTGAGTAAAGCAATAGACGAACTAATTAACTGTAAGAAAGCTTAATTTAATTATCTTTTTCCAAATATCATTCTTTTTTAAAATAGATACGTTATTTATTACGATTATTAATTAAAAATATAATATATATTTATAAAATAAAAGTTTCAAATCTTTTATTCTCAAGAGAGGTAAGGGGAACTTAACTATATCCAATTAAATCTATTAAATTATGTTTTCATTACTCTATTAAGACTGAATATGATACTTCAAATTATATGTAGATTATAAGTTTCTCTTAAGGAGTTTATATAAAAATTATATATATTATTTATGCAAAATGTGCGGAAGTTGCTAAATATTTAATTTATAAAAAGTTACAATAAATAATTTCTATATGCATTGTTTTTACATTAACAAAGTATAAGAAAAAATTGTTATTGGAAAAACTGATATTTAATGCAGAAATGAAAACGAGTCTTACGATCTAATAAGAATGAATTCTAAAAGATAAATTAAAAATATATATACTAAATTTTACTATTTTACAAAAAAAAGAAATTAAACATTTTTGTAACGTATATTACATACAAATATATTTTATACGCATCGACGTAAAATTCATTTTTGATTTTCATTATCTTTCTTCTTTAAAACATATAAATAAAACAATAATAAGTGATAAAAGTTAGCTGAAAATATCCCAAACTTCAACAAGAAAGGATTAATACGATATAAATTATAATAATTCCTATGTGCAATATTTTTATTATTAATCCATTAATTGCAAGCTGTCCAATTTTTCACTAGAGTAAAAACCTGCCTTAACTTGTCTACCTCCGAAGAATCGTCCGTTTAAATCAACGACAGCTTTTATAGCACTTTCTATTCTTTTAAATTCAACGAAAATACGAACTGCATCTTCCGGAGTTGCGTCAATAACTTCATGAATAATCACACGCGCTACATCACCGTATTTTGTATTACATTCATCTTTCACTTCTGGTTCCAAATCCTCGTCCACTTCTCCTGGTCCAACCATGTTACGTAGCAAGACAACCTAAAAGAACAATATATTTTTGTTAAGAATAAAAAAAAGAAAGTTTAAAAACATAAGCAGATAAATTGAATTACCTTGCTTGGTGATTTCATGATTTCCGTAATACTTGGTTCCTCTTGCGAAGTCTGTGCTTGTGCTGTCTGTTGTAAAAGTGGTGGAGACATAGAAACTGGAGGTGGTGGAGGCATAAGTTGTTCTCTTTCCCCAACGATTCTACCACCTCTTTTACTTGTCTTTTCTACTTGTAATGCTACAGACATTCCTTGTTCTTTTTTACCAAGACCTTGTCCTTCTTTAAAACCATATTTAGCCATTATCTTAGCTGCGACAGACGATGTGGCATAACCCAAATTAGAAGGTTGTCTTAGCGATGGGGAAGATGGTGGAAGTTCAGTACATTCTTGTAATGATGGAGGTGGTGCTATAGCAGCACCACCAGCTATACCCCTGGATGTTGGAGTACGTTCCTCATCTCTTTCCGGAGGTACCAAAGTACTATTTCCTGCTGCCTAAAATAATAATTGTACATGTTACAAAATGATAGATAATATTTGATCTAATCATTGTACAATTTAATTATTACTTGGGTATCCTCAAAACGTGTATTATCACGCCTTCTTTTTCGCATTTCGGTTTCTTGATCATGCTCTCTATCTCGAATATCACGTAACTCTTTAACGACTTTTTCATATTCATTAGGCCACATAGGATCATATTCGTTGATAACATTCCAATCAAATTCAATACCAATTCCAATACTACCTGTATTATTATTTGTTAATGGATTGTTAAGTAAACTTTCATCATCCTTCTCGATATCTCTAGTTTTTGATTTCAAATCAATAACTGGTGCTAATACAGCAGTTGCTTTTCTATATTGTTCACGTTTTGGCTACAAATATAATGACATAATAAATATTTTAATGAATTTTATATATGTGTATAAATTTCGTATTTACCTGTGTAGTTGCTGCTTTTTTTAATTGAAGCTGTGATTGCAACAATTTAATACCGGACGACCATCCAGCAACTTTGTCCGAAGTTCGATGTTTATCAAAATCATCGTACAGAGACATTGTTTAATTTTTGTTTTTTATTTATAATTTATAATAACAATTTATACGGCACTAAAACCATACATTACAAATATACGCATAACGACATAATTTGTTAGTTCATCAAAATCCTAATCATATATAACTTTGTTTTATAACCTTTTTTATATTTATAAGCAACAATTTAGGAATCACTTCAATACAAACTCAATAATGTAGAGATATTCCACGACTTATAAATTTGATGTTTGCGATAACGGAGCTTGATCAAGGAGGACGATCGCAATGTTATAAATGTGTCTACGTATATACACTATGAGAAGATGATTTCTATGGCCACTAGAGAGCGCGAACATCAAAGAGATCTATTTTTTTCATTTGTTTATTTATAAAATCACACGTACTTAAATCTGAACTCCTGAACACCACCGTCGCCGTCATGGAAAATTATCGTACTCGGTATTTACTTATTTTTAACAACACGAATTCGACGAAAACGCGTATCTCGATCGTCCTCCTTGTATAAAGCTTCGTTTATGCGATATTCATAATTCGTTTTCAAAATGATGCCTAATAGGCCAGTCAATAAGAGGCAAAGAAGAAACTTTCTGGTGTACTAATTTTACAATTTGATATAATGGTAATTCGACGTCGCTGAATCGAATGGTGCTAATTTTTTTGCAATACGATGTGGCTGTAACGAAAAAAAGGGTAAAAATGGCCGTATCTTAGAATCTAGGCATTTAATCGAAAAAAGTTGCAAACAAAAGTTGTGCAGAATTTCAAAATACATAAAAAATGTTCTAAGGTGTATCTTCGTATTTGCAAAAATAAGCGAGAAAATGAAGGTGAAAAGTAATTGTAAGAGAGGGGGCAAGCTAAAATTAAAAATTAAGAAATGTAAAAAGAATTTGTATAACTTAAGGATAGAAAAACAAAAAAAAAAATAATTCCCCCACGAATAATCGAACGGTAACTACCCGCGTGAGAAACAGAGACGATACTACCTACGGTAGCGTGCCACATGACAAAAGATCTATTTTTTTCGTACAATTTTTATGACATAGAAGATGAATAAAAATACATTTCTGTTTTCTTATAACATAATAAAAATGAATTAAAATTATGTCTAGACAAAAAATAAATTCCACGTTTTTAGAATATCCTTTCCTGAATATTCTGAATTTTAATTTTATGTGTAGATATAAAATTCTTCTTTTTCAAATATGTATTCAATTTGATACACAAATAAATATTTACGAGACAACAAATCTTTAATTAAAAATTTCCTAAAATACATAATTTAATAGGAAAAAATTTTAAATTATAAATTTCGTCTTTAAAAGAATACGTATTCAATTTGATATACAAATAAATTTTTGTGAGGYAAAAAATTTATATTAATTAATTATACAAATTAATTTTATGTYGAGAYRCAAAATAATTCATTATTTTTACTCTTGACTAAATAATAATAGTTTCTGTTAAAATGAATTATTGTTTTTCTTTTAATCAAGGTTCACTATTTTTGACAATTAATAAAAAAACAGCGTGCCATAAGCATCAAGATTTGATTTAAAAACGCCGCGCTTATACGCCTATATATATATAGATATACAGAATGCTCGAGACTCGATCGTCAAAACGAAAAATTCTCGCTGCGAAAGGAAAAAATTTAGAAAGAGAGAAATATCGGTTTCTTGTCTCACTCGCACTCGTATACATAACGCTCGACACTCGATGGCCAAGACGAAAAATTCTCGCTACAGCATGAAAAAATATCAGAAATATATAATACAGAACACTCAACAATCGATGGCCAAAAGAAAAATAATTGCTATCGCATGAACAAATAGAAAGAGAGAAATATCCATTTCTTTTCTCACTCGCACTCGCATTCACGACCGAGAGACCCCAAGATAACGCACACTAGCTCGCTCGCGTGTAAAGACCAACGAAGAGGCGTGGCTTGCCCCCTCTCTTACAATTACCTTTCACCTTCATTTTCTCGCTTATTTTTGCAAATACGAAGATACACCTTAGAACATTTTTTATGTATTTTTCAATTCTGCACAACTTTTGTTTGAAACTTTTTTCGATTAAATAGTATTCTATATTCGGTTCAATAGATTCTAAGATACGGCCATTTTTTACCCTTTTTCTCGTAAATACAAAATTTTATTGCAAAAAAATTAGCACCATTCGATTCATCGACATCGAATTACCATTATATCAAATTGTAAAATTAGTACTCCTGAAAGTTTCTTCTTTGCCTCTTATTGACTGGCCTATAAAATTACATTAACAAAGACCATTCGACATTTTTTAGTTCTGCATCTTCCAACCCAGATAGCGCATTGATGCAGTTGTACCAAGGTAATTGTGTGCTATCGATCTTTTTATTATCGTGATTCATTGACATATGGGTGAAAAAACACGTGTTTATTGTTCTATTTTTTAAATTGATATTTTTTCTTACATGCAATAGATTAAAATAAATAAATAAATGTTCCTTCGAGGTATTAAATTATTAAAAATGTATTGTAAATGGAAATCATCTTATATTAACTGTAATGGTGAATCTAATTGTTTATCTATATTATAACAAGTTAAATAAATCCAATTGTAAATATAAGCATATATTTTATACATACGTATATTTAGTTCTAAATTGGATTATAATATATATATATATTTCTTCTCCAGTAATTTGATGTTAAACTTGTAATATTACAAAATACATGTATGTATTCGAAATTTCAGTTAATTGGATTGAGTTATAAAAATCTTTTACAAAATATTAATTTGTCGTTAATAATTTTCTTTATTTATCATATTAATACATACCTATATGTATATTTAGTTGAAAATTACTTATCAATAAATAATAATATATATTATAGTATATCCATTGCAACGTATGATGAGTACTAATAACCAAAATAATCACATGGTTTGGATAGATATGGAGGTATTTATATAAAATTTGTATAATTTGTAGTCATAATTGTCTGTTTGTAGTTAGTTGACCTTCGGTTGTAATACAACTGCATTCGACTAAACTTTTTTTTTTATATTTTGCAGATGACAGGATTGGATATAAATACGTGTCACATCTTAGAAATCACTTGTTTAATCACTGATAGTAATTTAAAAATCATAAGCGATAAATTGAATATTGTAATAAATCAACCTGATTCTATTTTAAGTACTATGGATAATTGGTGTAAAGAGCATCATAAAAAGGTAAATTGTTTATTTATATTGTAAATTAATATATTGCTAATCATATGTTTTGTATTTTGTTTTAGTCAAAATTAATCGATGATGTTCGTAATAGTAAAATTTCGTTGAAAGATGCAGAACAAACTGTATTAAAATTTTTGAAAAGTTACGTTCCAAGAGGCAAATGTCCTTTGGCTGGTAATTCTGTTTACATGGACCGTTTATTTTTAATAAAATACATGCCATTAGTTCACGATTATTTACATTATAGAATTATAGATGTTAGCACGATTAAAGAAGTTGCAAGGTATGTAATATTAATAAATATTAAATAGTATAAAGATATATAAAGAGTGTTTGAGATTTTTATCGGTCAAACGATGTCAGTTTGTAGAAAATAATCTTTATATTATACATATTTTATTAATAATTTTATATACAAGTATATATATTTTACAGGAGATGGAATTCGCAAATATATTATTCTGCTCCTCCAAAAACATATCAGCACCGAGCAACTTTCGATATTTTAGAAAGTATCAAAGAATTGGATCATTATAAAAATTGTATATTTACGCCGAAGAATTCTTAGGAGGTAATTTATTTTTCGGAAACAAATGTACATAGACGTTTTAAAAATTGGACATTTTACAATATTTCCATGGACAATTTTTTGGATTGTTATTTACATTCCCTACACCGGGCAAATCGAATACACTACTACTCTATTGAATAAACTCTTTCAAAAATATCTTAAGTTAATAACAATTGTCTCAAAACGTTTACTTTATATTATTAGTATTTTTTTGTTTCTTACTAGATTGGTGGTAGGTATTGATTTATTGAAGATGGAAGATTACTTTTTCTATAATCGTAAGAATTATCTTTTGTGTTAAATGTTGGAAAAGATAGATTTTGTTCTTTATAATATATTATTTTTTTTAACCAATCATTGTCGATAGGTGTAAATATTGCAATCTGTAGAAAAACAAAAAATCAATGGAATTATAAATAAATTAAGCAATAATTAAATATATTTAATTGTAAATAAAGCATAATTGTTTTACTTGATGCGTGGGAGAACAACCATTATCCTGACTGTAAAGTCCAGCAAATTCGTAAATTCCGTCTTCTCTTTGACAAGCTAATGGTCCACCAATTTCAGTTTGACACATATTGTAATTAGTATTATGCGATTTAGCGCATATAGTTCCGTATTCTATATTTATGTTATATTGTTGTCCAGATGCATGTTGCATGCATGCATCAGGCGATAAGACATCAACGTCAAGACTATTCATAACAGCACCAAGTGCGTGTACTAAATTAAAATAAAATATCCTTTTAGACGTTTTATTTAAATTATTTAAAAAATGTAAATATTTCTTACCTTTAATTACTGCTTGACCCCATCCCGTTACAATGCATTTATTTAATGATTGAGTTGTAATCAAATTCGGTAAACACAATGGATTCACGTGTCTATTGTATGCTATAGCATGTTTTAAGTAGAGAACAGCCATATCATTTACAGAAGATCCCAGTATATAATTTGGATGAATGGCAATAGATGATACGTTAGTTATTTCGAATGGAAGTGGTTCTTCATGTTCAAGTTCGTATCCTAATTTCCATTCTCCAGACTTTACTGAAATTTCTTCCGGTGTAATTCTGAAATAACAAAATGATAATAAAACTATTCACTGGCTTTGCTTTGCATGTACTTAAAAAAGAAATAAAGATTTTACCCATTAACACAATAAGCTGTTGTTACAACAATGTCTGGTGCTAATATAACTCCAGAGCATAATATACTACGTTGTTTATTCGATAATATCATTGCTTGCCATGGAATTTCACCAAAAGATGTTACAGGCTTGTCTAATTCATCTGTATGTAGAACCTTTGGAAAAATATTCCAATTTATTATATGCATATACAATAAATTCATATTGTTGTGCAATTATAAAAATATTAATAAATCACAATATATAATACATACACCATTTCGTACTCCACATTCGTTGGGTATACGTTGAAGAGGAATCAATACAGAGTCTTGTTTGCTAGATGCAGTATTATAATTATTCTTAGTAAATGGCCTTGGTATGATAGAAGGTGTTTCGTTCGGTATCAATGGATATTGTAGAGGATAGAATGGTCCAGTGACTTGTTTTGGTATTTGAATAGAAGAATCAGGAACTTCATAATTATTTTCGTTTGGTTGTGTAGGTAGCGTCGGGACGGGTGATGTAATAGGAAAAATTGGTTCATTGTTAAATGCTGGTAGTTTCACCGATGGCTTAACAATTGGTGCCGTTTTTAAGCCAATAGTTGGCTTTTTTGGTGCTCGTACTTTCGCTATATTTAAAAATGTTGGAAATCCTTGTTCATCAAAACCACCAGAATAATTAGCTGGTAAATTACCCGTTGGCCACGGGTCTACGTAATTTGGATCGCGACAACATTTTCCAATAATTCCGCTCTCAAGATTCTTACAACTCTATTGATATATAAAAGATAGAAATTAAATAATAATTATTAAATTATTTAAATGTTTAATATTGAATTTAATTATGAGAACATCTCTCTACACTTGATATATACAATTTACAACTTACACTCAATGGAACACGCTGTAGAACATCTTTTTCTGTAAATGTTATAGGCTGTGTACTAATTATTCCTTCCTTAGTACAATATTGTTCTTCTACACAAAGTAAAGCGGCAGCACATCCTAATTGTACAGGTGGTTTGAATTCAGGAAATCTTGAACTTGGTAAATTTGATGATGACTGTGAACCTATATCACTACCTTCAGTTGAGTAATCGATTAATTAATATAATTTTTATAAAAAATTAGATAATTTTCCGTAATATAAATCAGATATCTATACTGAGATATATATGTACAATTACCTTTAGCAAATACTTGATTTAAACTAGTTCCAGAACTTATTGATAATTGTGGAGATATCGTAACACTTGAATTTAGATCTGTACTTTCATTAAAATCAGTAATTTGTTGTTGTACTGCAATCTGTTCGACACCACTGTTTATCGTTGATTTTACATTTTGAGATGAACTCAAATCAACTAAAATGTTTTGTTGATCTACTTGTTTTGGACGAATTTGTACTTGACTATTAATTATGGGATTTGAATCGTAATAATCACTTTGTTCCAATAAAGGAACGCTTGAGTCATCAACATCAGATGATGATTGTTCGTAATAATCTTTTACGATACAACATATTTCGTATTTCAGATTGCATTGTTGAATCTAAATGGAATAAAACAAAACAGACGTATGTAATTAAAAAATTAAAGTTAATAAATAAAGAAAAATTATTATTTTCTTCGTGTATTGCAAATTTACTGAATGATAAAAAAATTCGTATAGTACCTGTTTATTATTAAAATGAGTAATTTAATATAAAAAACTTATTTACCTGTTCTTTATCGCGAATGAATTCTTTTTGTATAGAAGTAACGTATCCACCTATACAAAGATTTTTATTCACGCAGAGTTTATTATCTCCGTTACAAGATACAATTAATCCCTCGTCAGATATTTCTTCTTGTTTTAAATTTGATTGAGAATATGTAATGAAATCTGACATGTCTGTGTTTTGAGATATCGAACCAGAATATAAGTCGGATTGACTGATATAAAGTGCTGTATAAACAAAATATTGTTAATAATAAATCATAAATATTAATTGGAACATTTTCATATAATGAATTTTTTGTATTACATTAAATTATATTTATTTATTGTGTAAACGCGTGTGTGCACTACTTACGTCGGTTTAATTGATTCCAATGAGTACCAAATTCACCAGATTGTTGTTCTCGTAAAAATTGTGGCGAAGTATTAGAAGAACTACTATCTTGCTGTTGATCTTGTTTATTATCGTACCAAGATGATTGTTCTAATAATGAATATAAAGATTTAATTTAAATAATTATTGATAAGTATTTCTTGTGTCCTAAAAAATTCAATTAAGTTTAATGATACTCACGCGATGTGAAATAATCTGGAATTTGGTTATAAGGAAGCCCATCAGTACATGCATTTAATATTAATGCAATTATAAACGTCCGTAATGGTATTCTCATTTTGAGAGCTTTTTAAAACAGATTTAAAAAAATTTATTAATTATCAAAGAAATCTAACACTTTATTATGTAATTATTAAATAAATAAAAATCTATTATAGCGAGAGAGAGAAGTTTTGTCAACCATTTATTTCGAATAAAATAATTTGTGCAAAGTAATAAAAGTATTACTTCTGAAATTTATTGAAAAATGATTCGATAAAATCTTGATTTACAATTGAAAAATAGTTCGAATAAAGATGGAACGAAGGATGAAATGGAATAAACGTAGGCGAATGTCATAAAACTAATGGGATGATGGATAGGAACGAGAGGAAGATCGACGACTATAGAAATAAATTTGATAGGAAGGCGCGGAAAGCTATTAGATATCTTTGTACGTTAAATTAAACTCGTATATAATTCGAACGAATAGTTATCGATGATCGATACGATCTCATTCGATAGAAATAAATGTATTAATAATAATTAGATCCTTGTTGGGATGAAGTTGGTGTTGAAAAAAAAGGAAGAAGAAAAAAGTAAAAAAAAGAAAACTAATAAAAAAAAAAAAAAAAGAAAACATCATCGAAATCAAAAAACGATATATCGCATTATCAAGATTCATTTTATAAGAAGGAAAAAAGGTCTTTTAGATATGGAGAAACTTGTCCCGCCACTCTCTCGTCGAAGATGAAGATTTTTATTTAATTTTATTCCGATGAAATATGTGTCGCGTTACTACTATCGATTAGATACGATCGTAGACACATTTCGTATTGATACTTTTCGTGATTTTCGTCGTCTCCTCTCTTTCGTTTAATAAAAATTCTAATCCTACTATTCGCGTTCGTGCTCGCGAGCCAGCATTGGTTTTAAATATTATCATTAAATTTGTCAACGATAATACTCGAAATTTATTTATCGAACTTTCTTAACGAATTAATTGTAACGAGAATTCTTTCATCAACGTGCGTATATACATATCGAAATTTATAATTAATCGTAGAAATATTTAAAATTCGCTTGATTATCAAAATTTGTGTCGAATAACAACAAGTCAGTAGGATAGTTGTCTCCTTTCTACATATGAGAATTAATTAGTAAGTAAATGTATCTTCTTTTTTTCTCGTAAAACTTGATGAGAAATTTAATCAACGAAATTAAAAAGCCCCAAAGTGAAATCCGAGAAAGAAAGCAATAAAATCTTGACGCGCGGGAGAACATCTCTCTTTTTGACTTTGAAATATTTTTCGGTTTGCACTTACATTCTTGCGTAGATATTTGTATACGTTTGTATGCATGTATCTATGTTTTTAACGCTAAATATTTTTCATCATCTACTTGGTTCTCTCGATGATAATATTTGATTATTATTTTTTTCTCTTTCTCTCATTTCTTTTCCCTTTCTTTTCTTTTTGTTTTTGCGCTCTTTTACTCGGTTGGGATGTCACTCCGTAATACGAAGCACGTTGTTAGTTAGACTCACTTTCACTGCTTTTCAAGGCGGTCGATTTTGTATGCGTCATTTCGTCTAGATGTTTTTGACAGAATGAATTCTCATGCACGCTTGACGCAACTTTTTTGTACGAGATGGAACTTCTTCTTCTTCTTTTTCTCCTTCATCATCTTCTTCGTCTTCTTTTTCTTTTTATCTTTCTTTCTAGAGATTAAAGTTACGATGAAACGTTGATTTACCTTCGGCCTTTAAGGACGCGGCCGGTTATCCGACTTTACATGACTCCAATTTGCCGGGTCTTTTTTTCTCTTTCCCTCTCTCTCTTTCTCTCTTTTTTCTTCACTCGTACGCTTGTTCGTTCCGAAACATTTCTTTTCCTTTTGACTTTTTTTTCTTCTCTTCTTATTATTTTTATTTTGGTCATTCCTGGTGACCAGATGATCTCATTGAATGATGAATTTTGAATTCGTACCGGCGCCTCCTCTTACAATGATTCATGAGGAATCCAATTTGGATTCGATGGACAAGGTCGATTTAAAAATGGACAACATTTGTACCAGGTAATCGGATAACTTATTCGACTTATACTTCGATATATTCGTGTCAAATGGAATGCGGAGGTGGTATTGTACGTGCTTCGTGTAATATACGAGTATTTTTTTTCATATGTTCGTGTCATTTGCCTAAACGTCAGTGAATTTATTTTTTATTTATTTATTTTCTCATTCTTTTTTTATTCCTTTTTTTTCTTTTTTTTACTTTTTTTTTCCTTAAGGAAAGTTGCTGCAAAATCGAACGGTAAAATGTGTTTTGACCTCTATATATGAGAAAAGAATGCGGACAGAGATTCCATCCCACATAACAGACACGATCGCATACGTATTTATACGCGTACACACACGCGTACGAATATATGAATACAAAACTAAAACAACTTACCTACTAATATTACAACTATATTTTGCATATATTTTGTAAGAACACGGTACTCACGCAGATATTGCAAATAACCGAGAAATCGATAAAAATAACTTTAATCTGTCGAGGTAATGCGAAACTTAGCGAGTTTCGTTTTTGCTAATAATTGCATAAAGAAAACATATAAAATCTATAAAATAAGTGATAAGTACTATGGATTAATTATTGGATGAAATTAAAATTGTCTATAACCGATGAATGATGGTAATAAACATTATTCAATACGACATATTATCACGAATATTTTTCTGTCGTGTTCATTGCATTTTTCAATATAAATATATTTTAGTAGTCATTAGGAGGATAATCCAAGAATTTTAAATATCGAAATTAAGAAAGTGAAAATGAGAGAAAGAGAAAATAATCGTGCGAATTTTTGAATTGTTATCGGTGACATTATTTCTAATATTTTTTTTTCTCCATTGAAGTAGTCCTTGAAATTTTTGTTAAGACTACTACTTCTCAAATAAACATACTAACTAATATTCAAGTCATTGACGTATACATATACATATATGTGTGTGCATTTTAGAAATTTTACTGGTGACATTGTTTCTAATATTTTCTTTTCTTTCTATCGAAATAGCTCTCGACATTTTTGTCAAGGCTACTGTTTCTTAAATATATATATACTACCAAATATTCAAATCATTGACACATACACACACACGTATACAAGTCCAGAGACTTTACTCGATGAGACGTACTCGAGTAAGAAGTGTTTGTCCACAATTGAAAATGTGCGTTACGTCAAAATTAGGCAAATTAACAGATTAAACGAAAATTCTTACGTTAATTGCGAATAATCCTCGAATTTTTTATTGTTAGTGAAATAACAAAGCTTAGGCAATGACAATTTTTTAAACAAGAAATCATGATCTCTCTCTCTCTCTCTCACTCTGCCTCCCAAAAAAAAAATGATTATATCGAATCGTAAGAGAGTGCTTTCGAAAACGGGTGTCCATTTACAAGTTCATACATACACGCATACTTCCATACATATACATTCATACGCATATATATAAATTGTATATCGATCGAAACGATTTCGCGTATCGATAAAACGTACGAAACAGAAATGTGGGTTATAGGTAATATCGTTTACGAGGGGAATTCGGACATGCTTTCTCAAGATCGTCGAAATGAAACATTCAGTATATGAGAAGAAAATAAAAAGAAAAGCAAAAAAATCACATGCACACACACACACACATGTATTTAGTCACATGTAAACGGATACATATGTATACGTACTACTTATACATGCATATCGAAGAATATGTGACTCTACTTCTTTGTGTGAAAGGAATCGCCTGATAATTTTTATACTTCCATACATAAACACAGATATATATACGGGAGTTGTATATGTGTGTATCGGTGGCCACTACCTTGGCAGCGGTAACATCCTTGTAAATTTAGATCTTAAATTTTCACTTTCTGGAACGTGAAAGCTGACTCTTCGACGTCATGTAATTATTGCTCCCTTGGACCCGGCATTTCGTTTCGAAAGCACTTATAGGAGAATTCGGGATACACATCCGGAATAATTATTATTTCTATACCCTACCTTACTGCAATTATTATTATTTCATATATTTTTCTTTTCATATTCATTGAGAAATACAAAAAAATGTTTGTAAACTTTACGTGTTTGTCTATTGCATCGAAGTTAAATTTTGTTATGCAAAAGATATGCTTAAGGTTACGTGCTAATGCATACACACGTAGGTAGATGTTGGGTCAGGATTTTAACGAGAATGAACGAGGAATGATCTATATACACGTATATTAGATATATATATATATACATATATATATATATATTACATGTATATGTATATGTGTGTATAGATGTATACGTGAAGACCCTATATATCAAGAGTAACACATACTCTCAGAGAAATAATATAAAAGCATGTTATACTGGTACTTACTTTTTAATCTCTGTATCCTCCCGTGTAGAATATGCGTATACACGTGTCGCTTAAAAGAAAGTCAATATAACTGGCGATGGTTTCATATCCCTTCTTCTCTTATAGTATCCGTCGATATTGAGTATCTCTCCCCTCCCCGCCCTCCATGCCGCTTGAATTTCGATCTTTCGGCATCTCCGCCTATGCCGATCAACCAAAATGCGTTAACTTTTTCGAACGGTTCACATTTTTATCACGGATGTCATTTCTAAAACATTCTTTTCTGGTTTTTTTGTCCTTACGTCACATCGACATTTTTCAAATATTTATGGAAATTTTTTTAAAATTATTTTATTGTACCTTGTTTCACTTTTTTTTTCTTTTCATTTTCACCAGGTCTTCTTCCTTCTTCTTCTTCTTCTTCTTCCTTTTTTGTCTTTTAGATTATAACATTTTATTGTACAGATTGACTCACAGACTCCCACGATATGACACATTTAGAATGAGAGAAAAAAAATCTATGTGAGTGAGTGAGTGAATGAGAGATAGAAACTTGGAATTATCGTATTCTGTCTCAAGAGCAGTCTCTTTACGGGAAAGATCCTCCTTCTATATTTCTACTCCCTTTACAAAAGAAGAAAAAAAAAAGAAAAAAAATCTCCTTTTTAATCGTCCCCACAAATCGTAGTCGAATAAAGGATGCAGATGCGAAATCACGCGTTGAAGTTACATATATCTTGAAAGGAGAGCTCTTTTAGGATGTTGATCATTTTACTTATCACATTTATTTATTTATATATATTTCTGTTCTTCGTTTTGTTTTTAATTCTTATATTCTTTTAAAGACGTTATGCTTTTAATATAAACCAGTTGTTCATTTAACAACTCTTTAAAATTACTTTCAAATAATTCGCGAGTATAATCGCGAAGCATTTATTATAAGTCTCGTTAATTCTTTTCTTCATTTTTTTCTTTTCAATAAAATCTTACAATTCGTATAATTAAAAATAACAAAAAAAAAGAAGAAGAAGAAATTTAGTAAAAGTTTTTGTTCAATTTAACATTTTTATAGTTGGCAGGAAGAAGAGAACAAAAAAATTAAATTATTCGTGATTGCAGGACGTTATTATACATTATCTACGGATCTCGTATGACCCCGAGAAATTTTTTTTTACCAAGCAAATACATAGCATATTCATCCTATGAGTTATTAATTCGTACAAATTTACATTAAATTTCTCATAGAGTTACAACATTTGCTCGTTTATTCATTCGTTCGTACGTTCATTTAGAGATGGTATCACATTGCGTATAATAATCGATCGATCGATTGATCGCGTTACCTTCAAACGACTTCGTCTAAATGAGAATTTCATTGCAAATATACAAGGTGTACTAACTGATACAGGCTATGATGCAGGTATACTTAAATTTATTTATTCACCCGCTATAGGGTACAATATAAAAAAATACACTTTTATTGTGCAAAAAATGCTGACGATATAGACAAAATCCACAAAAAATTACCTTAAAGAAAATGTTCTTTCCATGATACACCTCTTTTCCACCAATCAAAGTATGTCTTAAACATTTTTCATATCATTAAAAACAAAGAAAATATTTAGGTTGTCTCCTTCAACTAGGACACCTTGCATACCTGGCGTCAGGATTAGGATTAGCTACCTCAAGTGATAGCCTTTAACGACCAGATTTAGTTTTCGACAGGTGAATAAACCAGATTTTGATTATGAACTAGTTCCAAGGTCCGTTAAAGCCTCGGGGATAGCTGTTATAATTTTTCTTTTTATTTTTCTTTTTTTTTTTTATTCTATCCTTTTATATTTTTACACGATATTATTGTACAAACAACTATGTATATTTTCGAATCAATTCGGGGCCACTCTCTACTTCGAATATTTCACATTTTCTATCCACAGACCGAAGAAAGGTTTAGATCCTTTCTTAAAAAAGCTTTCATTAACTCAATCGAAATATCCCCTAAAGAAATTAGTCGAAGTTGCGGAATTACATCGATTACTCGTTCATAAATCTATGTTTATCGTTAAACGAGCAACGTATTTGATATGTAAGAACCATCATTCATGAATTTACTACGATCGTTTATTACGTTTTACGTAAGGAATTTATGTTCTTCCACGAGTATGCTAATGATACGCGAATACACTCTCACTATGGTGTATATGAATTATTTTTTTTTTTCGAATCATCATATCTTGTCAATTATTTTGTCTTATTTTGACAATGCTGGATATTTGTCGAATGCATCGTTAACTTTCTTTACAATAAACTGTTCCCACTTAGTTATGACATGAACTTTTGTCATAATCGTATGAAAGTGTATATATAGAATACACATATTTAATATATTTTACCATTCAAACGAAGTTTTATGTTCTTTTGTTATATTGAATTTCGCCACGATCTGAATTATTTGATATATTATGTTATTTTATGTGACGTTTAAAAATATATCTTTTTGCTTGCGATGTTTCTAATACAAGTGTTTGCATGATATTTGTCATTATTTTTGCTATAAACATCATTAATCTTACACGCGGTATAAGATTTAAAAGCAGAAGAATACGGAGCAGGGTCAGATTCATTTTGACGTCGTATTTAGAAAGTGAAAGTTCCGTGTCATAGATCATCGCATTTTCAAAGGGCCATCCGTCCTATCTTTTGAATGGCGTCTAATAAATTGGGTTTCGTTATTAGGTGGATATTCATGTTAAAAATGTTGCGTTCAACTAAACTTTTTTCTTTAAAAAATTTATTTTTTAAAAAACCTTAATGTAGTAAATAATTTGTAAGAGATTACATTTTGTTGCGATGTTAAATTAGAGAAAAAATAATTTTATTCCAGTAATGAATATATTTTTATATTTAGCTGTACGTATTTTTTTCTTAATTTTCTTTTATATATTGTATCTACGATCACTTCTTACAAATTTTGAATTCTTTTCTTTCTTAATCTGTTTTATCGATATGTAAATGAATAGGATCTATATCGACATTACCGATAGGAACCGATTGTAATTAAGAAAGAGTTGAAATTATAAAGAAAATGTTCTATATTATCGACAATTTTGAATATACAAATTTTATACAAAATTTGAATAGATATTTATTAAACTTTTGAGATTAAAAATAATTGTAAAAATGAGGAATTTATTAATTTGACTCAGGAATGGATAATTAAGAAATGTTAATAATCATTAGAGATATTTGTGTGTTTATCATATTATATAATATTCTTTTAATACTCGAGCAAAAAGATCAATTTTTTGTTTACTATGAATGACAATTATTTGTATAATTAAGTCTAAAGGCAGATATTTGAAATTCCTTGGATGTTTCTGTTTAAATGAACATGCACCTTCGTATTGAACATTCGGGAATACATTGAAATTGTCTATAAGCTATTAGAAATTGTAAAATGTGGCCTAAAAGTACGGAAATTTTGCAAGATAAAATGGCGAACATCGCTTGTAGAGAATTATCAGAGTCTATGTGGATAAGTAAATTGCTTTTTGAACAAACGGACATACGTTAAGTTTTGTTTGTAAAGTTGATAAGTATATTACAATAGAAAAGTTTTTATGCACCGATCTGTATGAATTTGTAATAACATTATTGATTATTTACATATCTTTGAGAGGCGTACGAAAAATGTTACAAATGTTGTAATGAAAATGAAATAAAAAATTACAAGATATTCTTCAGAGTGAGAGAGAGAGAGAGAGAGAGAGAGAGAGAGAGAGAGAGAGAGAGAGAGAGACAATTACTCAAACTAATTTTACAAAATGTAACCACAAGTAAAGCTGGTAAAATCAACAAATGCAATTATCTGGATTCAAATGAATGCCGTAAAAATAATTTTCGTTAGTTTGGTCAGCAAAAAACAAAAAAACAGTAAAAATATGTAATACTCTGCGTATTTAATATATCATATATATAGAACTCTTTTTCTTCTTATAAACTTATTTAACTTCGTTCAACATATTTGCGATATATTTATTGATATTTGATATATCGCATTATTTCACAAATCGTATATTATAAATTATGCACAGTGTTTCTAATTGATTCCACTGAAGAAAATATTCAACCTTTTTTCTTTACAGTTTTATATATATTTTTAATATTAATTAAACGACAACAATGCATTGGTTAATTATCTTCAACAAAATTGAAGTACAAATAAAATTAGTAAAGTTGACAAATGCAATTATCTGGATTCGAATCGTCAACAATCGTATTTATATATGCATAAGAATTGGTTTAAATGTTTATCCTAATTAATCATTAAATTTTTTTATATGAAAGCTGTAAATAAATTCAAGTCTTTCTTATAATTTTGACGCAATCAATTAGAAACAACAAGTGTGATAGATCATGGCATCGATAGAACTATTTATATCGATAATATAATAAACATTGTTCATAATATTAATAGATCGTATATGTTAAAATTTATAATTAAATAATAAGGTACAGGAGAATCACGCGAGGCGTTAGCTCGTTTCAACTAACGCTTCATTCATTTGGTCGAGACTACCAAGGTACTATACAATATATAATTATTAATATTGGAAATTATCAACGCGAGACACCCAACGTGATATTTGAATAGCAATTTACGTTAATACGAATTTTATTCGAAATATTTTTAAGGATGTAATCTCACATTTAATAATCATTTCTTCGTTAAGATGCCTCTTCTCTTTTTTTTGTCTTTTTTATCCTTTGGATAAAATCATATGCCCGCTAATTGGTTCATAATATTGAATAAAATCACTTATCAATAAGAGAAAGATAAATACTGTTTTAAAATCCGTTTAAGTATAATCACGGAGAATTTCTTTTAAAGATTTTATTTGTTTTTTAATACGAACGATAAAGATTTTTTTATATTTATTTTTTTAGCGAGCATAATTAACTTTTAAAAGGCCCCAGGAATAATGTTCCATCGAAAAAATCTAATTTCCTTTTACTCAATTTTTTTGTTTGTGTGAGTTTGTGCGTGCGTGTGTGTATATGTGTGGTTTTACTATCATTTATTACTAAGATTATCTTCGGCGAAATCAGCACTTTGATATTTACGTACTTCCACTCTTAACGTTTTTTTTTTTATAAATATCAAAATCTTTTCGCGTTTATTCTTCTTTTTCTGTTTATTATTTTGTTACGATTTATGTATCAGAACAGTCATTTCAAATCTTTAAATGTATAAGTTTAATGTTATGAAAAAGTACAAAAATCGTAAGTTCGTAAATCGATGTGCATAAATCTAAATAATAATTTATCTCGAACTCGATGAAAATTCGAAAAAGAATGAGAAAAAACATTAACATTATCATAACATTATCAATAATATCAATCAATTATAATTTAATTAAGAAATAAATTTGACGACACAGTCGTTAAAAGTAAAGTTCGAAGAAATCGATCTATTTTAAATTGCCATCGGTAATCGTGAATCGTGGAAGTTACGTTAAGGATTTAAATGTAGTTTCCTATATCGCACTAAAATTACAAGTAAGTGACATACGCTATTTGAACATGTCCGCTTAAAGTTTCGATAATGTCGATTATCGTACTCTGACACGTGGCACGGTTGAAAGACTGGGTAGGTAGGGTAGATACATACATATTTACAAACGCTCTTTGAGAAATATTTTTTACAGAATGTCGTTTTCAGAAGACGTTGCATACCGTTGTATGCGTTTGACCAACGGTATTGTTTTTTGGAAACATTCGAAACCCATGAGTGATTTAAAAGCCTCTCAAACGGTCCTGTTTATACATCACCCTGGTCTTTCAAAATATACATTTTTTTTTTCTCTTTCCTTCTACGCTTAATCTTCTAATTATTTTATATTACTTTATATATTCTTCATGCATGTCAATAATTAAGTGAAAAATCACGATTGTTTTTTTGTTTTTAATTTGTAAGAAAAAGAGATCAAAGATTTGAATCAGAATTGAAAAGATATATTGAATGGTCGTCTTCCACAAATAGAACTCATGAAATTCTCTTCATACGCTTAGTAACAGTATCGATCGCTAGAGTAAATAAAAAGAAAGCTTTTGATAAATTAATAGATAATATAAGAAAGTAATTTTAAACTCTCACAAGACTGTATCAAGAGTGTCGAGACTTCGTAATAATTGCTCGTCTTTAGAACACCATTGCACCAATTCCTCGATAGTCACCACGCCATCCTTATTCGCGTCCATTAGCTAAAAACGTATTAACGTCGTTTATCTTTTTACATTAGCTAAAAGATAATAAATAGTATATAAATCGTGAGTTTGAACGTAGATATTAATTACGTAACTCACGTGAAATATACGATCGACGTGTTCACGTGCTGCCAAATGCGGCTCGACTATTTGTGGCTGAGTATAACGACCCAACATCTCATAAATCGATCCAACGACATCCAACATTTCTTCCTTGCGTATCAATCCGTCACCGTCCAAGTCGTATAATCCAAAAACCCATTGTAATTTTTCCTCCACCGATCCTCGAGATACTTTGGATAAAATTGTTAGAAATTCCTACGCATAAATCAATAAAATCAGTTCATTTATATCGTTCATATTATATTCATTTAAATAAGTTCATTTATAATTTTTTCAATTCCAATTTCTCTTTCCATTAATCAGCTTACCTCAAAACTTATTTTACCAGAATGTTTCCTCTTCATGGTGTTGAACACGTAATGAGCGTATTGACTGGCATCTACGATCGTTACAAAAAATTAGTTAAAAATATATCATTTATTATTATTATTATTATTTAATTCGTTAAATTGAAATGCTTACCTCCCTGTGGAAAAAATTGCGAGAAGATTTGTTTGAAAGCTTCCTCGTCGACCAAACCAGTAGGACACTCTTGTTTGAATCCCCGATAAATCAATTGTATTTCCTTTCTTGAAAATCTCGTGTTGGCTGCCAAGGTGGCCAATTCCTCAGGCTTGTGGCGTCCGCCCAATGCTAAGGTGCCACCTCCAGAACCCCCTAAAACGCCCCCGAGTTCTTCAAGTTCTCCCTCTGTAACGTTGCCAAGGGGGGCTTCACTCTTAATACTGCACCACGTGTAAAGGCCGCTCCGATTCTAAGATACCTTCTTGTTTTTTTTTTTTTTATTACTCAGGAGCAAACAGGGTGGATTCTTCCTCCTCTCATATTTTTTTTTAATTTTTTACTTTATTACCAGGCAAAAAGAAATAAGAAAAGAGAAAAGAGAGAAGAGGAAGCAACGTTTCTACTTACAAAAGTGTGTGATTTTTTACGGTGCAATGAACAGATTTTTTACTGATTGCAGTGTATGCACCATCTGCCAATTATAAATGCTTCCTAGGAATTCTACCGAAGAGAGTGTGTTCAAAAGAGCATCTACTAAAATATTCGGAGTAACAACGGGTGCAACGTATTTACAGAACAAGTCCGTATCGAGTGCATATTTTCACCCCCCCTTACCAACCCCTTATTCATACATATCTATCTAATATCAAACCACACTCTAAATTACATTCTTATTTTACGCATTTACTTTCTTTTCTTTAATCTTTCTCGTAATGACGTTACGCGCGTATACAAAAATTACATATTATTGTAACTATAATTGAACATTATTGAAATCGTATTTTTGAAAATGAAATTACGCATGAAATCAGTACGAGAAATAAAGAGAAGAAAGATTACGACTAGTTCTTACATACGAAAACGTCGCTGCCAATTTCTATGGATTATTTTCTTTCTAATAACGTTCCCTACTGATTTAAGGGGATACTAATTTTTATTTAAATTCGTCCCATCGAGCAAAACTTGTTACAAATCTTTATTACAGACGCATATATATTGGATTGCCCAAATTTCAAGATTTTATATAAAAATTTTATTTTATATAAAAATTAAAAAATAATCTTTTTATGTTTATAAGCAACCTAATTATTTTGTAAACAACCAAATAATTTTCTTTATCATTATCTCTCATTCTAATTTTATTATTTTCTTAATTTTCAAAATATTACAAGTTTTACTCGACGTAACGAAATTTGTAATAGAACAAAACAATGACGAGTATTCACATTTGTTCAACGTTGTTAACTAAAGGTACGATCGAATCTAACAAGGATTTTGTATGATCATAAACATCACTGTAGCTACGAAAATCTATCTACTGACAAAACACTATTATCTAAATTGTCACCTTTCTAAAAAAGTTTAATTAAGGAGAGAGAGAGAGAGAGAGAGAGAGAGAGAGAGAGAGAGAGAGAATGAGTGAGAAAAAGAGTGAGAAAAAGAGAAAGAAAGAAATAGAAATACGGAAAGGAAAATAAAGTAATTACAGTTCATATTTGATCACTACACTTTAACTCATGTGTCCTATACCACGCAATTCGGTACTCTCTATATGCTCGCATACTTTCTTTACATGCATGTGTAACATCAATCAATTGCTCACATATCTATACGTGTCTATGTCGACATGCCTTTTTCAACTTGTCTTATATCACGCTTTTAAGCTAACTACCAAACGACCGAACAAAACACGCTCAATCAATCTTCCCCGAAGGTCGAATTCAATAAAAATGACTCAAGTTAATCGATTTTGTATCCAACGTATGTGTATGTATATCGTGTCACTCGTGTCTACTTTTCCGAAATAATTTTTTCATGAAATTAAACGATACGAAACGAGATAGGAGCTTCCCTGGTTTAATAGCTTTCATTATTTATCGATGCATAATAAAAATATCTTAAGTTATTTTTACATGTATGGGGTGATTTAAAAAAAAAGGCAAATGATAATTTTCGTAGGATCAGACGAATTAGAAAGACCGTTGATCTGAAATTCGATGGGATGGATTACCGTGAAAAGTAAAAAAATCAGGAAATATTAGAGTCATGATTACAAAATATAACAACAAGTAGAATATTTTAAGAAATATCGAAGGTCTGCCGTTAGACGGTAATCGCATTAGAGTGGTTCGTTCGCGTTTGGATTTTCCTCTTTACAAAGAGTTAATCAATGAAAAAATATACACGTGTGTGCTCTAAAATGAGAAGAAAAATGAAAAAAAGAGAGAGAGAGAGAGAGACAGAGAGAGAGAAAGAGAGAGAGAAAGAGAGAGAGAGAGAGAAAGCGAAAGTGAGATAGAGCTCCTAATCCCGGGCATCTGGGGTTACCATGACGACGACGACGACAGGTCAACTCCTATCCCGAGAACTTTGTGTGTCCCGTTTTTCATCTCACTTTGTTGATCTTTATGGATATTATTTGATAATTAGAACAAGAATATTCATTGTCCATGAATATAAATGAGATATTGATTAAAATAAAGTTCGTCGCGTGGTGTCGGTCGATTCGGTATATCAATTCTACAAAACTACCCTCCTTTTTCCACCCATCTTATTTAATATCTCTACTAGTCAAAAGGAGTGGTATATTTCTCTATCTAATTATCTAAAATTCCTAAATGATTCAACGAAAGAGGGTAATAATAATAATAATAATAATAATAATAATAATAATAATAATAATAATAAGAAGAAGAAGAAGAAGAAGATAGGGATGTAGAGAAAGAGAGTAAAAAAAGATCCTTGGATATTGGTTGCCAAAGAGCTTGCATTAATGTACGTATAAAACTGTGGGTGTATTAAAAATAATCAGAAGTATAGAGAAATAAATTTGATATAGGGAAAGAGATAAAGGAGGAGAAGAAGAAAAAATAAGAATAAAAAGAAGAAGGTCTAAGGTGAGATCTTTTTATGTCGAAGGAGCCTCGAACCTTGGCGCTGCATCTCCATCGACTCTTGGCGCTGTCGCACTTCGGCGAATTACGTGCAGCAGCTAGTAAGAGCGAACCAGATGAATAAGAAATAAAGGGTGGAAAAATAGGAACAGAGAGAGAGAGAGAGAGAGAGAGAGAGAGAGAGAGAGAGAGAGAGACAGACAGACAGACAGACAGAAATAGAGAAAGAGAGAATAAGAAATATTTAATGAGAAAGGGAAAAATGGAAGTAAAAAGGAAAATGCGATATTGTGAAAACGAATGTTCGTTTTGTTCGTTTTTCGCGGTATAAGAAATCCTCACTCCGCGGCTTCTCAAGGATGATCATCGAGGAAGAAACACATCGTCGAATGTCCTAGCTGTGATCGCACCACGCTGATAACGCACCACGGATTACGGACGATCTTGGCCCTGAGATTGGTCAACTTACGTTTCTCGCGACTCTTACGTGCCTTCATTGGCCGTATCCGGTAGAACGTTTAAGGAGATCGGCGAACCGATCGCTCACCGAAGAAAGAAAGAAAGAAAATTAGATGCAACAACTGAAGTAAATAGGCAAATGACAAATAGAGATAACGAAGAGTCTCCTTCTTCCTCTCCTCAAATAATCGATTATTTGATTATGTTTTCTTCTCTTCTTGTATTCCTATATTGCTCGTCTTCCTTTCTTTCTTGTTTTTCTCCTTTTCTTCGTAAACAGGATCGAGAATTTAATTGTTCGCGAATCGTTCGTTGTGGGCAACCCTCTCGTTCAATCGTCCCTTTCTGATTTGTCTTCTACGGGCGCACGAGAACGTTGCTTCTACGATGCAACACGTCCGCCCTATCTTCCTCCACTGATGACTTTTCTCTCTCTCGGTCCGTCGACGCACGGATACTGGAAAGCGCACTTCTACCTTGCGCGCAAGTCACTTTCTGTCTTTCTTTAGCATCTCGTTCAGACACAACTAACTTCAGTATAGGCCAACACATATTTTTCCATATATTTTCATATATGTAACATCCGTCACACTGATGATATACAATATTTTCTTTTTTTTTATCTACTGGATTTTTTTTCGTATTTTTTATTTTTCAAACATGTTTTTTTTTATTCACAAGCTTCCTACTTTTTTATTAACACGTTGAGCGCCACGCGTTTTTCTAAAGCAATCCCGTTCAGGCCACGCACGCCGCTTTTTTTTTTTTTTTAGAGTTCTCATGTTACACGCTGTCAGCCATCGATGGTTGACGCGGCCTGAACGGAAAGTCCAGTGTCAGTCACCGATGGCTGACGTGGCGCTCAACGTGTTAACATATCGGAATTTCTCATTTTCTTTTTTGTTATTACCGAATTGGTTCGAATAAATTAATTTATTTATTTACAATCATATATATAGGTCATTCCATGTCAAATCGACAAATTTTTTATCTGACCCCCTTTGATTTCGCTGAAAATTTTCTATCTTTTTCTACCCCCCGAAAGTTATTTTT